GGGAAGGGGGGAGGGAGGGGGAGGTTGTGGAGGAAGGAGGAAAAATCCTAGAGGAAACATAAAGGGAGGGAGGAGGGGGTGGAGGGTGAAGGAGGAGGGACTCCAAGGAGAGGACAGGATGGGGAGAAGATCTCCTTAAGAGAGAAGGGAAGGAGGTGGCAGGAGAGTCTGGAAGGGGGAGGGAAAGGGGTGGGAAGAAGAGTCCCCAGAAAGGGGAGGGGAGCGGGGGAGGGTCTCCGGAGGGAGGACGAGGAGGGGAGTCTGGAAGGGGGAGGGGCAGAGGAAGGAGGTAGAGAGGAGAGTCTCCAGAAGAGGGGGGAGGAGGGTCTCGGGAAGAGGGAGCGGAGGTGAACGGGAAAGACGGTTTCCAGAAGGGAGGAAGGGAGACAGGGCTGGGGAGGAGGGGTCCGTCTCTCCCAGAGCCCAGTGGGAGAGACCCTACCAGGCTGAGATTTGCGGCATCCAGCCCCAGCTCTGAGAGGGCGGGGTCTGAGGTGGGCACAGATGGGAGTCAGAGGAGGAGGAGACCCAGAGAGGGGCTGACGCGGTTCTAAGAAGGGAGGGGACACTTTTCACAGAAGGGAGGGGAAGAGGGTCGGATTGGGTCACAGAGGAGGCCTCCGTCTCCTGGGGCTCTCCCTCTTAGTGCACCCTCCCCCTGTCTGGGGGAATCACTCACCTCCGTCGGCCACCACCAGCTGCGCGAACACGCCCTGCCGAGAGAGGACAAACGGAAAGTGGGTGGAGGTCCCCCCTCCCGCACCCGCAGCCCTCTGGAAAGTGGAGTGCCCGGGATCTGCGCGAGTCTTGAGCCTACGCTCCCTTCCCTTCCCGCTGCAAAAGAGCGCGCGCGCTCCCCCAGCCCTACCGTGTGCAAGGACAGAACCCCGAGGACTCAGGAGGGAAAAGAGGAGAGAGTCCCTCCAGGGGGCTTGGCACTGGGGGGTCTTGAGAGAGAAAGGGGGTACCCCAAGGGTCCGGGAGAAAACCTAGGTTCTCCGCGAGTTACGAAAGAAAGGGGGAGCCCCCTCAGTGGTTCGAGATAAAATGTCCCTCGGGGTCCGCAATGGAGAAAGTGCTCCCCTCTGGGGTCCCGGGATGAGATGGGGTCTCACGGGGGTGCGGGACGAGAAGGGTGCCCCCCGAAGTCCTGGATAAAGAAGCGGTGCCCTCGGAGGTCCAAGAGGGACGATGCGGGTCCCTCCACCATCGGCCTGGGATGCAGAAAGGACCTCGGGGTGTGGGGGGGGGGAGCGAATGGAGAAGAGGTCCCGGAACTGGGTAGGGGTCTCTCCCGGGGTCCAGATCGGGCCGCATCTCACCTGCGGAGAGTCGGGGAGGCGGGTGCGGGCGTCGGGCGTCAGCTCCAGGCCCTCCGGGAGTCTCGGGCTGCGCGCGGAGCCGGGGACCTGCGATGCAGGAGCCCCGGGCGCGGCCCAGGCGCGCACCAGGCAGGCGGCGCAGGCGGCGGCGAGCAGCAGCAGCGCGGCGCTCACGGCCCAGGGCAGCGGGTGGCAGGAGCGGCCCGAGGGCGCGAGCGGCCGCTGAGCTTCGGGGTCCGGGGCGGCGTAGGTGCTGGAGTGCATGGCCGGCTGCGGGCGGCTGCGGTCCGAGGCCGCTGCACCGCGCTTTATATGCAATCCCGAAGCCCCCCTTTCCGGGGTGTGGCCCGTGGGGATCCCAGAGATCCGCCCGGTAGGTTGGTTCCCGCCCGCCCCGCCTCCTCCACGTTCTGTCCGAACTTTCCCTAACTTTCTCTTCCCCGGATCTCTCCCTCTCTGCATCTCCTTTTTTCTCTCTCCTTCTCTCTCTCTCTCTGTCTCTCTGTCTCTCTGTCTCTCTCTCCCTCTCTCCCTCCCTCCCTCCCTCCCTCCCTCTCTCTCTCTCTCCCTCCAAGCTCTGCCCCACCGACCCTTTCTTCCTAATTATCTCTCTTGTGTCTCCCCGCTTATCTATCTCTGCGCCTCTCTGCTTCTCTGCCTCTTTCCCCAATTTCTTATCACTCCCTAGCTCCCCAGCACTGGGGCCCCTCCAGGGCTCTCCTAAACCCGGCACTTCTTCAGAGGGGTCAGAAGACAGCCAGGCCTCAGCCCCCTTCTCCTGTGGAGCATAAGTCCTCCCAGTGGAACCCTAAGTGCCCTGCTCAGCCCTCCCCCTCCCCTCCCTCTTTTGCCCCAGGACCCCTGGACCTTCCCTGGCCTGCCCCCGCCCACCCACCTAGACGCTTCCCATCAGGGGCCCCCTGGACCCCACAAGCAGAAGGCTGGAGAGTCCAGGTGGAGAAATTCCCCTTGTAGGAAAGGGACAGCCTTGAGTGAGGCAGAGGAAACTCAAATTTCCCGTTCGCTCTCCGGTGGTGGTGTGGGCGGGGGCGGGGGCGGGGGCGGGAGGAGGACCAGAGAAGCGGTCAAAACTCGGCCCCAAAAGAGGAAGCAACCCTGGACTGAGAGATGGCCAGCCCTAGAAAAGCCCTGGGCTCCCATAGAAGCCCTGCTCTGCCCAGACCAGCCGGCCAACTCCCTAACCCGCTCCAGGATTCACTTTCCCTATAGAAAATGGAAGGGTGGACCGGGCAATTGATCTCAGTCATCCATCAGCCGTCAGGGAAATGGGGGCAGGGAGGTTGGTTCAACTGAACAAGGATCGGATGCCGGCCCTGTATTCAATCTTGTATTAAGCCTCTCTGGGGAATTACGAGGAGACCACTGTGATGATACTGGCTCGTGTTGACTCACAGGTGCTGAACGTTTCCGTTTTACCAGCGGTTTATAAAGCACAAGGCCCAGACCAGCATCACCTGGGAACTTGCTAGCTCTGCAAATTCTAGCACCTCACCCGAGACCTACTGACATTCTGAGAGTGGAAGCCCTGCAATCAGTGTCTGAAGGAGCGTTCCAGAAGATTCTGACACTTGCCCAAGTTGGAGAATCCACTGCATGGTACCAAGGTTGTTCCTTCACACCTGCTGTCCCCCTGCCTGGAATGTTCTTTCCCCAGATCTGCGGCCAGCTGTCCTTCTGAGTAAAGAGGATGAATTAAGCTCCGGCCCCTACTTTCACTCTCTCCCCAAACCCCACTGCAGTGATAGTATAAGCGACTGTTTTAAAAGCTACACCAAAAATTGTAAGCCATCGGGGTGGAATGCCAAATATAATTTCCCTAGCCAAATGCCACAATCAGCACCGTGTCTCAAGCCTCAGTTATTGGTGACTGCCCCCCACCCCCGACTCCGAAAGAGAGTGTGGTGGGTGACAGCTAAAATAGAAGTGTTGGTCTAAAGTAAATTCCCAAAAGAGATATCAGCTCTGCTCCCCTTCAGGGTGGAACCACAGCCGTTTTGGGTTTTTTGTTTTTTGTTTTTTCCTCCAGACAGCGGATATGGCAGCGTTTCTGGTGGGAGGAACGCAGTTGATGGTAGAAGAATCACGCCAAAAGCATGTGTTAAACAAACGTGTGAACTTGAATGCAGGATTTGAAACTTTCCCACCTTGACCCTTGCCCCCCACTCAGCAGCCAGGCTCTGAAAGATGGGGATGGTGGGATCCTTTCTCTGAGGAATCTGACCAACCAGGAAGATAGATATAAAGATACTGAGGCCAAAAAGCCCTCCCCAGATAGCATTGCTCTGTCAAGAAGCTCACAGGCCACAGGCCAATCTGTTTATTATTAAGCCCTCCCCCACAGCAGTGTCACAGACAAGGGTTGTCTGAGCTGACAAAAAGGAATTCAGAGGACTCCCAGTCAACATCTCGGACAACCCAAATGAAAGTGTCTCTCTCTCGGGCCCTGGTTACATCACCCCGTGACATGACCTTACTAGCAGTTTCCACCATGTGAGATATTCTTGTTCATTTGTTTGCTCACTCATGGCTGTTTCCCCCATGAAACTGTTATCTCCCAAAGAGGAGTATCTCCACCTGCCTTGTTTCCAACCTAGAAAATTGCAGGCCTCGATCGTATTGACTGATTTAATGAATAAATGAACGCAGTAGAGCATAACAGTTACCAGCATGCGCTCTAGAGGTGGACAAACTGCAGCCCGACACCGAATGTTTTGATTATTTTCATTTTGAAGCAGCTGGGAAAAGTCAAAAGAAGACTCTTTCCTGATGTGCAAATCATGTGAAATTCAAATTTCAGTGTCCACAGATAAAACTGTATTGACACACAGCCACCCTCATTTGTTTCCATATTGTCTGTGGCGATTTTTGCAATATTATGGCGGAGTGGAGTAGTTACAACAGAGATTGTCTGGCCCACAAAGCCCCAAATATTTACTCTCTCTGGTCCCTTTCAGAGGAAAATTTGCTGCCCCTGTCTAGAGTCTTGAATTTTAGCGCTCAGATTTCTTGCTGTGTGATTTTGGGCAAGCTGCTTCACCTCTCTGAGCCTCACTTTTCACATCTACTAAATGGGAATAAGAGTAGGTCTCAAAGAGTAGCTGAGAGCTTGCTGTGAGCAGTGCCAGGCACACGGCAAATGCTCATTCCAGGTGAGCGGGGTCACTGACGCTTTTCTACAATTCCAATAAGCGGATGTAAAAACACTAAGACTCCAAAAGTTGAAGTCATCGATCCAAGGACTGACAGTGACTGCTCTGAACTCTCTCAATGCCGAGGGGCTTAGCAGAGTTCTATACACCCCCGCCAGAGCAGGGAAACAATGCCTGTCAGGGGAAGGCTCAGGCCGCAGCCGGGGAGCGCCATGACGTATTGTTGTGGTCGGGACATCTGAGATAGGCAGCCCCGCCCACTATGGAGCTCTCGGCATCAGCTGCCTAGCACCCCACGGTTTAGTACAGTTGCACCTCTGTGCTCAGCTGTCTCCCTGAGGTGAGCGTGGGCCCTGGTTTTCCTCACCTCTAGGGGAAAGGCCTGAATTCTCACTGTTGCCATCATAGGGCTCAAAGGAGGGATTGGGCAGGAAGCAGTTGGGGGGTGGCACCCTTCTTCCCTCTCGGAGGCCCAGTGAACAGGCACCTCCTCCAAGAAGTATGCCTTGATTTTTCCTAGCAAACTCACCTCCTTCTCTCTGGGTTCCCGACTGCCCCCCATCCCATATGTGGACTCCCCCAGGGTCAACCTTCCACTGGCGTGGATCTTCCACGTCCCCCAGGGGAAAGGCAAAGCCTGAAAGAGACCCTTAGTGATTGCCGGGTAAGTGCACAGTGAGAGGGCACGGGACCCCATGGGGGGCTGTGAACCAAGAAAAGAAGAAAAAAGAGAAGGGAAGGGTTGAGTGAGGTTGGTCTCCAGCCGAGGGGGTATCCACATGTGTTGAAGGAGGAAATCGATGCAGAGAGGGGAACTGTGTTCTCCAAGTTAGTCAGGTCTCTGGAAAAGCTGGGTCCAAGTCTCCTCAGCCCTGGATAGGCCAGGGAAACACAGACCTGGTACAGGAGTGCACCTGTGATATCGGGTAAACACGACAAGGCATGATGGCATAATTAGGCTTTGTGGAGTTGGGGTGCTTATCCAGCTACTCTGGAATTGTGTGTTTCCAGTGTGATGCGTGTTCAGGGATCAGGAAAGGGGATGGGGGGGGGCCCATGCGTGCACCAGCGTGCTTCTGGTTGAGGAACAACAATAGCACAAGGTCCAAACCACTTAACTTCAAATCCCAGCTCTACCTCTTGCTAGTTGTATGATCTCGAGCAAATGCCTTCACCTCTCTGCCTTGAGGTTCCCATCTGAGAAGTCGAGCTAACACAGGGACCACCTGCTAGGATTACTGTCCAGAATCGAGAGCCAGAACAGTACCTGGCATACGGTAGGTGCTCTCCAGGACTAGTCATCACTGCTGCCAGTGGGGCTGACCGTCTGGTGCCTCTGCGTGACTGTAGGCAGGGGTCTGATCTTATGGATGAAGCACCAGGGTCCAGAAACAAGCGCTGACATCTGAGCCAAAAACAGGCAGGAAGTATTCTGAACGGAAATAGCCGAAAGAGTCATTGAAAGAGAAATGGTCAGATTATCACTCATAGAATCAGTTCAGGAATCAAGCTGTGGAGGAGGTTGAGTCATCTCTTTGGGGCTCATTAGAGATCTCTAAGGGCTAGGAAAACAAAGAATGTGGATTTGGTTTCAGAGCAAAGATACATTTGCATAGCACATATCTGGAAGGTATATTAAAAAGCTAGGGGGACTTAGGAGAGTGATCTGAAAAAGAGATCGTGGACCTTTCATGCAAGCTTCCGCCCACCTGCATTTTCCATGTTTGCTTTGTTTTGGTTTTTGCATGTGTGTTACATACAGAATGGTGGTCAGGTGTGAGCGCACAAAGAAAAAAACCAGTGGCCATACACACAAAAATTTTTTAAAGCGAAAAAAATAAGCAGAGAAAGAAAGAAACCGGTGGCCTTAGCTGTTTGGAGGAAGGGAAAATTTAACATCAGTGACATCAAAGGCAGGAAATGGTGTTTCCCTGCTAATGGCAGTGGAAGGATACAGGGATGGGGAAGACCCAGGCAAACCAGGGCGTGCCCTGGGTACCCCTCAGAGGGGCCCCGTCTGTGAAAAACCAGCTCATTCTGCTGGGAAACTAGCCAGCCTGCCCCAGGAAGGAAGCCCCAGCAGGGCTACCACCTGGAAGGGACTCTCCAACTGGCCCGGAGGGGCAGCCACCAGACAGATACCGGTGTACAAAAGACACCCCCATTCAGGCGGTACACAATCACACAAACCGAGACAGACACACAAATACACCACACAGACATACACACACTCACACACACACACACACTGAGACACATAATCATAGATACGCAAGAGTAGCCAACAAAGCTGGCCACAGACACACACAGAGATCCAAGAGATACATATTCAGAGCATAGACACCAAGAATAGAAGGACACACAATCGCAGACCCACAATCACACACATGCCAAAACAGTGGTGGAGATACACCACACAGGCACATGCTAAGACATGCCCAGAGGTGCAATCATAGATACACAAGATCAGCTGCCCAAGCTGGCCACAAGCACACAAAAGGACACATCCGTGCCCGTGATCACACATACCCACTAACGCATAGCCTGAAAGAGTCTCAAAGGCTCTGGGATGTGCATTCAGAGACAGACAATATCAGATGTCCAGAGACCACCAAAGGCACTCAAGTCACACACTGACACAGGCTGACCTGGAGAGACTGGCAGAGACACAAAGTACAAGAAACCCAGGCCCCGCCCCCAGTGAAGATCCAGGTCCCACCCTTCGAGCCATCCAAGATCCACCCCCCACAGAGGGGACCCAGGCCCTCCTTTTGGGGGCCTATCCCTCCCTCCCTTAAGGCACCTCTGGGTCCCTTTCCTTGGAAGCAACACCCAGCGTAGGCCGCGGGCGACCCCTGGTGGACCAGGCGCCTCAGTCCAGGGCTGCACTGAATGGGTCGTTGGGAGGGGGGCGTCTAGGCTGAAAGGAAGGAAAGGTGCTTCGGCATCGACTGCAAAGCCCGGAGGAAGGTGCGTGGCAACGGGGTAGCGGGGACACGGGCGGCCGGAGCGGGATCAGACGGCCTTGGACAAGGGAACAGAGCGTGGGAAGGAGTGGGATGGAAGACCCTCACCCATCCCCACTCGGTGCGATACAGGGTCCCCGAGGGGAGGGTGCTGCTCCGGGGACAGTGGAAGACGCGATAAGCCCGGCGGCGAATTCCCATTGGTCCGCGCCCGACCAATGAGGAACGGCGAGGGCTCCCGGAGGGGCGGGGCAAGACAGGACAACAGTTGATAGACATGGAAGGGACCCTCCTACCCAGCTTGGCTCTCAGCCCGAAAATGACCACCAGGGAATCGCCCAAGGTCTGCAATGCCCAGCGCGGAGACCGCTGGCCCAGGAGGACTCTCGTCAACTCCGATATGGCTTTGACCCGCGGAACCCTGAAAAAGGTGGGCTTGCCCCTCTCAGAGTTGATCCCAAGCTCCCAAGCCCTGCCCTCTCATCAGCCCCTCCCACTTCTATGTCATTCTCCCAGGCCCCGCCCACTTCCTAGCCATCATTGTCTCAAGCCCTGCCCACCCCCAGTCTCGCCCACTTTCCCATCATTCTCCCCAGGCTCCGCCCACTTCTCAGACAGCAACCTTCTAGGCCTTGCCCACTTTCCTACCCCACCCACTTTTCTACTTTCCTTCGTCTTGCACCATCCTCTCCCCGTCTCTGCCCTTCTATTGTCTTCTATCTGAAATCTTCCGCCCTGCCCTGGGTTACACTTTTCCAGAACTCCCTGCCCGCTTCCCAGTCCAGGCCTTCGAACCATCCCCATCCTTAGTCTGAACTTCCCTGGGGACACCACAGCCTGCGGGTCTCTGAGCATTTTGTCTGAGCATTTAGGCCCCGCCCATTTTGTTCCTCTCTCTACCTTCTTCCAGACCTCACCCATGCTTTCAAGACCTTACCCCAAATCAGTCAAGTCCCTGTATGGGTTGGGGACTCCTAGCTAACGGAGTCAGACAGGCCTCAGTTTCCCCGGCCCCTCGGGAAGGCCACGCCCCCTTGGTCATCTAATTACTGCCCTACAATGGGACCCCGCCCCTGCCCACCTTGGTCTTCACCATTCAGGCCAGCCTCTCCCCGCTGTATCCGGCCCGACTCTCGAGCTCTAATCCCAGCCTGGGTGGGCGCGCCCACCCCTTCGCCCCGCACAGTCGATAAGCTTACCACATACTGTCTTGGCCTTGCCCGAGCTGGTGGTCCGGTACCAGTGCCTGTGGCCGGGGGACCCGCGGAGAACCACCCCCGTGCCATCTGCTGCCACACTGCTGGACCGCCAAGCTGTTGGTGGCTTTGGATTTGTTCTGTCTGCTGCTGGGTGAGCCCCCTCCCCAGCGTCCTTGAGCGCCCCGCACCACCACCATGCGGACACCCAAGGGGCAGTGGAGGGGTCTGTCTTCCTGTCTTTATCTGAGGGTCGCTAGATTGGGGGCTGGCTGCCTGCCCTGGTGTGTGTACTTGGGCTGTGTGTCTTCACATCGGTGTGTTCATCAACATGTTTCTGGGATGTCTGGGTCAATGTGTGTTCGTGTGAATGGGGACGATAGGGACTCTCCACAAGTGTGACTTTGTGTGTTTACCTGTCTTCCTGGGTCTGGGTGCTGGGTGAGCATCTGGCTGTGCATCTTTTTTTTTTTTTTCAGTCTTTCATATGATTTTATTTTCTGCATGTCTCTGAGTTGTGGATCTGAGTCTATGTGTCTATAGTGGGGGAGGTATGTTTGTATTGTGTATCTGTGTGTATGTTGTGTGCAAGCCCCTGGGTCTATCCGTATGTCTGGGGCTGGTCTGTGTTGAACTTATATCCATGTGAATGAGTATGATTCTGTGTGTGTATGCTCATGCACACGTGTGTGCATGGGTATGTGTGTGTCCCTTCAGGTCTCTGGGTTGCATGTTGTGTTGTGTGTTGTATTGGTTTTCGGGGGTGTGTGTTCATTGTGGGTGACTCCTGTGCATGCACTTGATCTATGGGAGCCTGTGACTATGCATCTGGGCTGGGGGCGGATCCAATGGTATTTGTGTAGCCAGGTGTGTGTGTGGGTCTATATGGGCCTATGTGTATTGTGGGTATATTGTTGCATTATATGTCTGTGTGTGTACATCTGAATCTGGGTGTCTGGGTCAGACTGTGTGGTTGTATTGTATAATTGTGCATGTCAGACCCTGTTTGTTTGGGAATCTGCGTGGCCTGAGCTTGCTTAGGGTCTAGATGTGTGGCTGGCATATACCAGGGCCGCCCCCCACCCCCATTCCCCGGTGGGCAGAGCTAGTGACCAAAACCTCCTCATTGGGGAGGAGAGGCCAGGCTGGGATACTAGCTTTGCCCTTCCAGCCCAGTAAGGGAGCTGGGGACTGTGGGAGGCTGGGTTCCAGCTGCCTGGCTCCACTAAACTTCAGTGGGTGACAGGATGACAGGGTCAAGACAGGGGAGGGAGGCCTGGGTGTAGGCTTTGAGGATGAGTGAGCCAGACAGAGAGCCTGGCACCTGCTGGAGACAAGCCCCTTGGTCTGTCTGAATTCAGGATGGCAGTGTCAGGTGAGGGGGCCTGGACACTGCTCACACACAACTTTGCCACCAGTATCTCCCCTCCCAGCTCAATCAGCCACAGAGCCATGGATATAGACATGAACACATACACAGATCCCAGATACAAGCACACACACACACCAACACAACCCACACATCCATGGACACAATGCATAATCGCTCTCTCTCTCTCTCTCTCTCATACACACACACACACACACACACATCGCAGAGAGGAGCACACACACTCAGACATGTACCCATGTGTACCACAGACACCTATTCACACCACATACGCATGTCATAGACATAGATACCCAGCAACACACACACACATATTCACACACACACATGCAGAGCCACAATCATACACACATACATCAGGACACACACACATACAGAAAGAGCGAGCCCTTCCACACTTATCCCCTCCTTATCTTAACCCCTCACCCACCTCACTCACAGGACCCCACCAGTGAATGGGTCCCTGGGGCTCTGGCCTCCTCTGGCCTCCTGGCCATACTGTCCTCTCTGCGCATGTCCCCATGTCCAGCCTGTGGAGATGCCGGGAGGACAGACTGGCCAGAAGGCCTAAGGAGGGTAAACCTCAGTTGACCCATCCATGAGTGGGGTCATCTCCACCCCCTGCAGTCAGTCTCCCCATCGTGCTGAATGAGACCGGTTTGCTGGTACCCTACATCCAGGGCTTCTTTTGCAATGACACCACCATTGGATACCCCCGAGTGGCCCATTACATCATCGAAGACTCGGCACTCATAAAGATGGGCTTCTTCATCTCCATCTTCACGGTAAGAGGGTGGCCACTTTCACCTCAGGCCATGGTGACACACCATGGGAAAGTTCATCTGTTTTTCTGGCAAAGTGGAAACCCCCACCCATTATAGATCTAAGGCAGGAGGAAGTACCACCTCTTTTCCTACTGAAATGGGAAATCTCACTGCTCAATGGCATAAAACTCCTTTCCTTGAGGAAAAGGTTAGCCCCCCACTTTTGACATAATATAGAGGAAACACCCACCTCTCTGCCTTAGGTATGGAACAAGAAGTTCAGCCCCTGCCCCCCAGTGGACAGGGAAGCCCCATTCCTTATATGCAGAAGGCAGGAAGCAGTCCTGCCCCTTTTCTGGGGATCTGGGAAATCTCCCCCTTTCAAACATGGAACATCCTGCCTCTTTCTCCCAGTGACAAGGGAAGTTCTATCATTTTCAGGCATTTGGGAGGAAGTCTATCCTTTTTTCCTGGTATAACAGGAAGCCCCACCCCTTTCATATATGAGACAGGAAATCCTGCCTATGTCTGACATAAACTAGGGAGATGACCCACCTTTTTTCCTGGTATAACAGGAAGTCCTGCCCCTTTCAGATATGGGACAGGAAATCCTACCTATGTCTGACATAAACTAGGGAGATGCCCCGCCTCTTTTCCTGGTATAACAGGAAGTCCCGCCCCTTTCAGTTATGGGACCCCCCCCCCCCTCCTTTTCTTGATGATATGGGAAGCCTTATCGGCTTAGGAAGTCCTAACCATTTCAGGCACAGGGGTGGGAGAAGTCACCCATCTGTGTGTATGTGTGGGATGGAATGAGAAGCCCCACCCTTTTGCCTGGTTTACTGGGAAAGAACAGCCTCCCTTCCATATGAACCTGTCTGAGACAAAGGGTTGGGGTTTTCCTACTCTTGTTGTGCCCTCGGCCCTCAGCAGTGACCCCTCACCCCTCTCACACGGCCCCACAGATCAGCCTGGGAGAGTTGATTCGTGTCAAGCTCTTGCAGCTGAGCTCGCCAGCCTTCATGAGCGGCACTTACACGGCCATGATCTACAAGCAGCTGGGCACCTTCATTTTTGGCGGCCTGGCCAGCTGCTCCCCGACCAGCATTGCCAAGATGACCACAGGTCACCTGCAGCCCCACTTCCTGGCCACGTGCCTGCCTGACCCAGCCTCCTTTGACCTCGAGAGCAGCTACGTCACCAACTACACCTGTACAGGGCACCCCGGAGACGTCCTCGATGCCAGGCGAGTGGGCGGTCAGGGAGGGGAACCCAGGAAGCATCCCCACCCCACCCCAGCCCCAGCTGATGTCCACCCTGCCCCTGCCTGTCCCCCAGGAAATCCTTCTATTCTGTGGACGCCTCCATCGGGATGTACTCCATGGTGTATTTGGTGGTGAGTGTTGGCCCGAGGTGGGCTGCACGCCCGGCAAGGCCAGAAAATACTCCATTGTCCCCCCGCCCGCCCCCACCCCATGCTTGGTGCCAGCAGTGCCAGACACAGCTTCCATAGAGCTTGTGTGTTCCCCCAGAGTCAGGAGGGCGAGAACGGGGAGGGCCCATCTTCTCTTAAGACTCATTCAGCATCCCTGTCCCAGAACAGCAACTTCCAGAACCCTCTGTCTCCCCCTCCCTGCAGCTGGAGAGGGCCCATGCCAGTCTGGGTCCATGCCCAGGGCTGGGCTCCACCAAGGGCAGGGGGAAGGGAAATCAGACCCAGCTGAGGTGTAGCTCTAAGTTTTGGGTAATAAAGTGGCAGGAGGAGCAGGGCGGGGGGTGGGGGAACCCCTGGGAAGGAGCCGATGACCCACAGGCATATACTCGGCTGGCAGAAGTGGATCGCACACATCGGAGCCAGCCCAGAGCACCTGGGCACTGTGGTGGGCAGACACAACGACACAGAAGCCCTGGCCACAGTGCACGTGATGCTACACGGCTGCCTTCACACCAGCAACGTTTTCTTCCTGAAAGGCAGCCCATTCGACTGCCAGCCGGCCCCCCTTTTTTTGAAAGACAAAGTAACAAAGTAACTACAGTCTCCTGTAGTGATAGCAGGGCTTTGGAGCTGGAATGTACATGCTCTAGTCCCAGCCTCAACTGTGTGTGATATTGGGTGAGACACTCAATGTCCTTGGGCCTCCATTTCCTCATCTGTAAAATGGGTGTGGAAATAGCGCTTGCCTCCTAGGGTTGTGGTTTCATGAGTTAACACATAAATGAGCTGACTCGCTCAAAGTATTTAGAACAGGATCTGCCCTAAAGGTCACTATTATCATTAATAGCAGGCAAAACAGACTCCCTCCGTCCCAGGGGAGCATGCCAACAACGCCAGGAGGTGCACAGACCGACCACACACAGCTAGGAGTCAGGCCTTCCCCTGATTTTATGGACCGAATGGTCAACTTTGTGAACAGAATGTTCTGGGTCTCGGGGAATTCCCCCACCTTTTTTTTTCTGTTTTCCATTTCAAAACCAAGAGCCCAAACTCTGCTTTTTGAGGGCCCCCTGATGAGGCCAACCTGCTTCGATTAGAGATCTGACACTGGCAGAAAGTGGCAGTGCCGGGTCACAGTATGAGCGTATCCAGAGGGCCTCACCTGACTCTTGGGAAATCATTCACCATCTAACAATTCTCCCAATATTAATAGCATGAAGTTCTCTTACAATGATGGTTTCGGGGGCCACAGCCCCTACCCTCTTTAGAGGCTGAAATCCATTTCCATATAAAACTGACAGGCTCAGACAGGCCGGTGGGCACAAAAACGCAGCTGCGGGGTGGAGTCCCTCTGGATATCTGCTCCCAGGGTTTCAAGGCGCTGCCCACCCGCCTTCCAGCTCTATGTACAGGCCAGTTCCTGGGGACAGAAAATCTGGCTCTTATGGCCCACCATCCAGCTCCTTTTCTTGTCCTTGGCTACATCCGGGTCTTGGACCATGGCACCACCCCTGCGATGCCATCTTCTGATTCTTGCAGGGAGCTTTGATGGCTTTCTGGGTGGTAAGTGATGCCATGGGGCACCTGGGTACCAGGGAGGCTCTGCTTGCCCGAGAGCCATTGGGTACACCTGGCACTCCTCATCTCCCAGGAAGGGAGCCCGGGAGAGGCCAGACTGAAGAGGGAGCGGCCTTGGGGTGTAGGTGACGTCAGCCCACCCCAACCCCTCCCCACTTCATCCCTGCGGGCTTTCTACATCTTGGGCGATGCCAAGTCCCAGAGTCTCCAGGTGCTAGAAGACCACCCATCCCCTGCTCGCCACTTTCCTCCTCATTTCCCCTCTCTGTATTCCTCCCCTGAGGGCCCTTAGGGAACCCAAGGGATGCCCCAATTCAGAGAAAGATAGAGGGCACCCATTGCTCACCAGAACCTGTGCTCTCCAGGGGGCTATCCCTACCAAGGTGGGCTAATGCAGGAAGCCCCACCTCCCTGGAGCTCAGCCCTGACCCCAAATCAGCCTTGCCCTGGTAGGGTGACACAGGAAGCCCCATTTTTCTGGGGCTGAACTCCAAATCGGCCCCTCCCAGCAGGGCCACTTCCACTTTTATGTTTTGATGATTCTTGATATATTAAATAATAAAATGCCAACACAGGTTTATGAATTTTTGACAGATATTAACATGTGTTGATGGACTTCCTATTTCAATCCGGGAACCGGGTCTCGGGGAACAACCGTAACAACATTTGATAACCTCAGAAGTCTCAATCAGGTTTCTCGACCTTGGCTATTGCCACTGGCATTTGGGGCCAGATTATCCTTTGCTGCAGAGGCCAGCCGTGTGCACTGTAGGACGCTGAGCAGCCTCCCTAGGCTCCACCCACTGGATGCCAATGACAGCCCCAAGTTGTAAAGATCAAAAATGACTCCAGACATTGTCAAGTTTCCCCTGTGTGTTGGGGGGGGCGGGGGGTGGAGAATCACTGCCAGCTGAGAATTTCTGGCTTAGGGGATTCTGCTGACCCCCAGGAGACTGTGCTCCATAACCATCTGACCTACTGAAGTCCCAGGATGCTGTACACGTTTAAATCACAGAGAGAGGAAGTAATTCATAGATGCTGGGGGGAGGGGGAGGGGGGTCACCCTCGTTTGTACTGTCTGATCCATCAGGAGTTTATTCTGGTGTCTAGTCTGAGCCTAAAGATCTAACTCAGTTGTTTTTTGTTTGTTTGTTTGTTTGTTTTTCTCAAATAACAGTGTTTCTCAACCTTGAGCACTATTGACATTTGGACCAGATAATTCTTTGGGGGGAGGGGGAGACTGTCCTGTGCACCCTAGAATGTTTAGCAACATCCACTCACTAGATGCCAGTAACACACACACACACACCCATCCAGGCATAACAACCAAAAACATCTCCAGACATTGCCAAGTGTCCCTACGGGGCAGAATCGCTCCCTGTTGAGAACCACAAAATTGGAAGCCACTGGTGAGAGCGTGAGGTCCCAGCCCTTCAGCCTACCTGGCTAATCCCACCCCCACCCCGCAGTAGCCAGAAGCTGTGGAGGAGGAGGGAGAGGCTTCCAGGGATGGCAGAGCCGGAGGCTGCCAGCAGAAATTGGCCCCAAGAAGTCTGGCCTTCGCTTGTGGGGCAGCACAGGAAGTCTTGCCCAGTATTACAATAATAATTGTAATACTAATAGCTACGATTTATCGTTTACTCTGCGAGGGGAAACCGAGGCCATCTTGTTAACTGGGCCATCTTTGGACCCTCCTAACCGCCTAGAGGGTTCCTGACAGCCCCATCTTGCAGGAAATTCAGCCAGAGGGAAGCCAAGTGGCCTGTGCAAGGTCATAATAGTAATAAATGCAAAGGCAGGACGATGGATTGGAATAAATTATAACAATGGAGCAGAGAGGTGCCGATCTGGGGGGAGTAAGGCAGCCCGCCGGAAGCCCTCTATCCCCGCAGTATGTAATCCAGCTATAAGTCTTAATCTTTGATGTTCGACCCCAGGCAAGGCTGAGGGTGACCCCACCTGCGACAGACCCAAAGCCCAACCGAGGTGTCCAGGTGGAGCGAACAGTCCCCCCCAAACCTCCATCAGCTTCCAAAAGCATCCGCAGTCAAACATGGAAGGGAAATCGTGGTTTTACTTACTACCCAGCTTCAAGACAAGTCCTGCAGAAACCGACCGCCCCCTCCTCCCAAAACTGTCGGCTGCTCCGGAGCGGCCAGCTCGGCCCCACTAGGAGCCCTCTCGGTTAATGCGAGGGTCTGGCGAACGAGAACTAAACGGAATGGGGAGGGAGGCTTGGGACGGAGAAACTGAGGCAGGGTCGTTCGGGGCGAGAGCCGGGAGAGGCAGAATCTCCCGGCTGCTTGTTTACCGGGCGCTCTCCCTCCCCCCGCCCAATCCCTGCAAAACCCGGGTCGCCAGGCCTGGCTGGGGGCGGGAGGGGTGGGATGGAGGAAGATGGTAATGTTGGTGCCTGAGAGGCCTCACCCCCCACGGCCTGGGGTGGGGGGCGCACGGAGCCCCGGCTCGCCCCAGCCCCTGCCCCCAGAGGTCTCCAGGCGGCAGGGGAGGGGTATCCGTCAATCCCCGCACCCTCCGTCCCGGGGCGGGACCGGGGGGCGGAGCGGGCCGGTGACCTGCAGTGACGCGAGCCCCGCCCGCTCTTATAGAGGCGCCCCGGGAGCGCAGGGACCGTGCTTCGCCGCCGCCGCCGCGTCCACCACCCGCCTCGCTGCCGCAGTTCCCAGCATCAGCACCAGCGCCGCCGCGTCCACCATCAGCGCCGCCGCCATGCGGGAGATCGTGCACCTGCAGGCCGGCCAGTGCGGCAACCAGATCGGAGCCAAGGTACGCGAGGGACCGGGCCTGGGGAGGCGGTCGAGAGATGCGGAGCGCGGTCCACCGAGCTCCGCAGAGCTCCTCCACCATGGGCCTTTTGGGGAACGGGGCCCCCCCGGAGGCCAGCACCCCAGGGACGGTGGGGAAGGGCGCAGGGGGCAGGGCCAAGCTGGGAACAAAGAGGCCCATGGGGGTGGGGCCCAGGCTTCTGTCCGCTTGCCACAGCTGGCCTCACAGCTGGCCCACTGTCCCCTCCGCACGCACAAAGAGACCCCGCCCCTCCCCACGGCAGCAGCCAGGGAGCGCTGACCCCAGCCCGCTGGGCTGCGGTGGTGAGTCTGCTCCACCCCGCCCCCACCGCTCCCTTCTTGCTGCCTCATCCTCGTCCGCCCACTCTGCCTCTAGGTTCCACACTCACCTTGCCTGGGGGACAGGTGGCAGCTAGGGAGGTGAGTGGGGGTCCTGAGTCCAGAAGATGGAGGTGGGGCAGACCTGGCCACCGGCTCCACCTTCTTGGTCCTTACCACCGCCCTCCCCCCCCCAGTTTTGGGAGGTGATCAGTGATGAGCATGGCATCGATCCCACTGGCACATACCATGGGGATAGTGACCTGCAGCTGGAGAGAATCAACGTGTACTACAATGAGGCCACAGGTAAGGGGCGGGGGGCACCTGCCAGAGTGGGGGTGGCGAGGGCCTGGGAGGGGACAGGATACTGGCTCCTGGCGCTGACCAAGCTGCTCTCCATCTGCTTCTCTGCAGGAGGAAATTACGTCCCCAGAGCTGTGCTGGTGGACCTCGAGCCGGGCACCATGGACTCTGTCCGCTCAGGTCCCTTCGGCCAGATCTTTCGTCCTGACAACTTTGTGTTTGGTGAGTCACCATCATGAGACACAGGCAGGGAAGCCCCCACTCCCCAGATTCTTTCACTTCCACATGCTTGGTGAAAATTCTTCACCTAGCATCTAGACTCAGGAACCCAGAGGCCAGCGGGGAAAGCGGATACACAGGCCACTGTGGGAATCCAGGGGAGGCGCAGGGTAGGGAAGGCTTCCCGGAGAAGGTAGCATTTTAATTTAACAGTATGGACCTGAGCCAGACTGCGGTGTTCAAATCCCTGTTCTGCCACATCATGCAGTCGACAAACACTTATTAGCACCTACTGCATACCAGGCCCTACTGTACCCCCTGGGAATATAGCCAAGAATAAAACAGATAAAGCTCTCTGCCCCCACCCCCAAGCTGGTGGAGGGAGCTGGGAAGATAAATAAATGGGAAGAGAAGAGAAATAATTCAAACTCAGCCACTGATTGAGGCATCTTGGTGATTTTGGACAGGCCCTTCAATCTCTCTGTGCCTGTCTCCTCATCTTTCAAACAGGGATTATACAAAAACTTCCTTTTCAGGATTGTGAGACTTAAAGCCACTAACACGTATAAAGAACTTAGAACAATGCCTAGCACAGAGGAAAAGATAACTAAGCATTTGATGTTCTGTTGTCATTTTTATTATCATTATCACTATTAATGTCTGCAGCCTAAAAGATGAATAGGACTAGGGTTGACCAAAAGGCAATGAAGGGAGGAAAGGTGTGTAAGACAGAGGGAACAGCATATGTGAAGACAGTGGGCACATTTGCAGCCCTCAGATTGAAGGGGCCTGCATGCTCTGAACAACCGTGTAGGAAACATTTCCTGGTACCTCTAGGTCAAGCTAAATGCACAGCCCCACCTGACATCAGGCCCCAGGCTCCCCCTCCCCCAGGCCCCTCCTCCTAGTACACAGTAGTTTACTCTGGAGTCTAGGGATTGACGGGACAAGCTATGTGACCTTGGACGAGTGACTTCCCCTCTCTGGTCTGTGCAAAGATTCAGGAAGATAATGATGGTCATGTGTGGGTATGACGCACAATAGGTCCTCAGGAAGTGGCTGTGGAAAGACTAAATGAGGTTGACCAGGAGATGTGAGGGATTCTAGGATGATTATGGGTGGCTCCAGTCGGGCCAAAAAGATACTGTGGCCTCTGATAGGTGAGGCAGGGGAAGTGGTAGAAAAGTGTGGACTCAGGAGCCAGACCACCCAATTCAAATCCTATTCTCTCAGAGGAGGTGACATTGAACAGAGACCTGAAGAGTCATTCAGGGG